GAAGTCAAACAAGGTACTCGTTACTATTCACCTAGCCTTGTTTCTTGGACACCCCTACTGTTTTTCTTTTTTATGGGCAGAGAACAGAGTCATGTGAACAGCCCCAGTACGTTCATGTTCACCTCTCTGAGCATTTGGCCATGGAACTGGAGCTAGGTGTTCTTTGTGCTATTGGCTTCCCTCTCAGGCAGGCTGCCCAGGCAGTGGGAGCCAGCCAGTGGTTCACCCAGCCTTACGGCCCATTATTGAAAGGTGGAAGGCCTGTCGATAACTGGGTGTACAAAAATTGGGAAGCAGTTTTGTTTTCTGGACAGCTGCTCACAGCTATAATTCTCAATAATGGGGTGAAAATGTAAATTCTTAGACTATCTTCCTACTTGTGGTTTTACACAAAGCAACTTGAACAATAAAGGTAATTTAATTGAAGATTGTGAGGACAGTTAATGAAACCCTAGGAAAAGTGAGAATCAGGTCCAATAACACCCAGTTGGTCAAGTTGCCAGGAGCTTCTCTCAAGCTTCACTCTTGTTCTTTCTGGTTGAACTTTTTCTGTCTCTCCCTTTGAATAAGTTTTCCCCAAGTAACTGTAAAAAGCTCTCATGTTCTACATTTGCCATTGAAGGAAGACTAGCTTGATATTTTTCAAGGCTCAAATCTTAAGCTAGATGCATCATTAGATAGAACTTATCTGATACAGCAGGATAAGCCCTGGAGAAATTCTTTGGTGGTTTAAGTTGAATATAGGTCTGTGTAAGGAGCATACAGTATATGTATATAATATACTCCTGTGTGAGTGGGTCTTAATTATGGTTTTATTTTATTCATTTAGGACAAATTTTTTATGGCCTCAATTTTTCAATCTTCCTGCCTCAGCTTGCTTAGTGCTGAGGTTGGAGGTATTTATCATCATGTCTGGTTACAAACTTTATTTTTTTCCTCAAAATATGTTTCTGAACATTTACTTGGAGTTTGAAAATCTGAATGCCCATCCACAGATAAACTGTCTTGGTGTCATAATATAATTTAGGATTGTCTTCCCTTGACCCAGACAACTGTCTTAAGTGCAAACATCCCACCTACATCAGTGGGGCTGGATGTGTCCAAGATGATGTATCATCCAAGTATTTAATTCCACCTCCCGGTGTCTGAGCACAGCTGGAGCAAAAGCTTGGGTAGTCTGTGGTCGAAATCTTTTCCTAAAGTTCCACTACGAGTGAAACATGGGTAAGGAAACAGATGATCCCTTCTTTGCCCTCTTTTTTGTTTCGACAGTGAGAGATGCATAGAGTTTCATCTGTATTTGCATTCTCCTAGCTACTCTAGTTATAGCTCCAGACTTTGGTTTCAGACCAAGGTCTCCAGGGAGCCATTGTCCAGGACCCCTGGTAATCCTTTAAAGGATCTTTAGGCAGAATTATCCTTAAGGATAGAGACTGGTACTGATGCAAATCAGAGCGATGAAAGGATGCCTGGTTTGTCTGAAGGACGGAGTAAAGTTCTAAAGACGTTTTAAAGAGTCAAAGCAGACACATAGTGTAAAACTTTATCAGTCTGGCTGTGTGTAACATGTGACATTCAGGATATAGGAGTGAGGGACAAAGCTGATGCTCCTATCCAGGCAAATGCCTATGGCACTTCATCTCTTCCCTTGACACAGATGAGAGCAGGTAATATGTGACTTGAGCAGACTCTAGAATGTAGTTTAATTGTTGATTGTTGGTGATTTTTTTGAATGAGAAAAGGACTATGCAGGAAGTCAGTGACAAAGCCCAGGTGTCGGGCTTCAATGCTGGCAAAAGGCATTGCTACCTGTGTGCACAGTCTAGAGGTGTAGTGTTCCCCGTGTGCAGTTCCTGTTCTCAGCTCCTGTCATCCCGTGCAGAGATAAAGTCCATGCTCTTCATATTGATGTTTCTTCTAGCTGGACAATCTCATTTTTATTCAAAGTTTATTAGCGAGACAGATTAGGGAAATCTCCTTCATTCATTCAATAGAGCTGAAGAATCCTTGATCCCTACTACCTGGGCCAGCCTGCACTGTCGTAAATGTTTCTAAGAATTCTTAACGTTATATACACATATAAACATGTATAAGATTATGTGTTTGAATTAAAAGGATTACTAATTTTTACTACAATTTTTAAGACCTATGAATATATAGGTCTCTTCTACATAAGAGTCAGCATAAAGGATTTGATTACTTGTCTATATCTCTTGAAAATGTAACTATAGGAGAATAACTCCAGAATCTGTGAGTCTCCTGCTATTCCTGTCTAAAATTTAGCTTTCTGGAAGAGGGACCTAGGATAGAGCCGGCATCTAGATTCTCACTTCATAAAACAGCATGGGGTTACTGTTGGCCCTTAATTTTATATCTTTATTATAAGGTTAATTCTTTTCTTACTTGATTCTAGGAGTGTTCTCATCTTTTTCTCGTATATTTGTGAAAACTAAATGTTAAAGGATTTAGTATAACAAAAGTTGGTAAATGATGATGTAAAAATTATACTGTGTCTGCAATTAGTCAAGTGAATTTAGTGTGGTTCAATAATATAGAATCACTAGGCTCATAATATTTTAGGACCTGAGTGAGTTTGGCAAAGAAAAAAATATTATGTTAGCATTAAACCTCAAGCAAAGAAACAGTTCATCTAAATTTCAAGGAAATAAAAAGCAAGGCATCATGTTGTGACATGGAACACTGACAAGAATAACTCCCCAACTAAATATTAAGCAGATTTTAAACTGGTGGTTAACCAAAAAAAGGGGAGAGGAGGAGCTTTTGTTTAATTCCCTTCTGTGCCAGTGTGTGTCCTGATGTCTTAGCTTTAATTTTGTTCAAGGTGTTAAGAGAGCCTGATATAGTGGTCCTCTGAGAGATCATTTCATCTTTCCCAATAATCAATTTCTTCAGTTTCTTCTGCATGCAGTTATTCTGGATATATAGTATTTAAGCATTGTGATCACATATTTAAAGTAATTTCATTGTGGTAACTGAATTACGTCAATTTTTGGGCCTAAAAGATATGCTTAAGTACTAAGCCTGAAACCTGTGAATGCTACAATATTTAGAGTTAGGGTCATTGTATATTTACCCAGGTGAAGATGTGCTCTTACATTATTCGGATGGGCCCTTAGCCTGTGACTGTTGTACTTTTAGAGGAAAATTTAGACACACACACACACAGGCACACGTGCACACACACACATACACACCCCATTGGAAGAAAACGGCAAGGAGAATGAGAATGCCATGTGGTAATGAGGTAGACCCTGGATTGATGCATCTGTAATCGACAGAATTCCAAGAATTGTTGTAACCACCAGAAGCCAAGGTTTGGGACAGGGAGGCTGTGCCTTGTTTTTCTACAGTCTCCAGAGGGAACATAGGTCTGCCAGAATCTTGGTTTAGGCCTTTTGGTTCATAGAATGCTTCAAAATAAATGGCTGCTCTGCGTTACCCAGCTCATGGTTCTTGGCTACTACAGTCTTAGAAATTTGACACAACAGATTTGTTTGAAAATAAATGCATTTAACTGGCATCAGTGATAACTTTCCTAGGAGGGAATTATAGACTAATTTTCAATGCTGAGTTTTGTGACTAGTTAATGCATTCCACTTAGTAGTGTTTCTGCATTTGTGTTTTATTGTCCTAACATAAAGCAAGATGCCCAGAAAACTGGAGCGAAACAGGTTCTTCCTCAAAGAGCCCTGTGTATGAGACTAATTTTCAACATCAGCTGTTTCCTCCCATCCTTTGTTGGCATCACCACATGCCTCCTGAGGGCTGCATTTGTCACTGATAGTCAACATGTGAAACACTGAGCTAGACGCTGTGGGCAACTCACAGAAGGACCGACCAACCCTGTCTTCCCTTATAGGCAGTATCCTGCCATCTAAACTTAATGACGCTAGACTAAGCCATGGAGGCCTAGGAGAATCTAGTTGTAAAATCCAGTTTCACTGTATTAAATTGTTCTTATAAAACCATTTAATGTTTTTAAGCATTTTTTGGCCTTGCATACTCATTTGTCAGAAGAAAGATGAGAATTTGGGGGAGCATTGGCTTTTTTGGTGTTTTCCTACATTGCTACTATTATAAAATCTTCCTGCATTTGGATCTAAAATTATATGTCCGCTTGGCTGGGGAAAAAGTATCATATGGTGTGAAGTAAAGATGATTAAAAGATTAATTATCTTTTAAGTAATTAGCTGATTGTGTCACTGTAGTTTATACAATAATTCTCCTCCTTATCTGTCTTAAAATAATTATTTTCCCCATCTCTTAAAAACTTTGTATTTTGCCGGGCGGTGGTGGTGCACGCCTTTAATCCCAGCACTCGGGAGGCAGAGACAGACGGATCTCTGTGAGTTCGAGGCCAGCCTGGTCTACAAGAGCTAGTTCCAGGACAGGAACCAAAAGCTACAGAGAAACCCTATCTCGAAATATCAAAAAAAAAAAAAAAAAAACCTTTGTATTTTGAAACATGGTATCTTTTTGCTGCTCATAGGGTCAAACCTAGGACCTTGCAATTGGACCATCAAGTTTTGTCACCGGCACCCAAATAAGCTCTTTAGAAAAGAAAATGACCATCTGATAATTTAGAAACATTTTCTTATTCTAAAAACAGCATTACTAAAACACATTGTGCTTTCTCAGTTTATATTATACAGTAGTGATTAATGCGGATCCCATTTCTTTGTCTAGTCAAAATGGTATATTAATTGTTTTCTGCAACCTGTATTGTCAAAGGTGCTAGATATTTTCCTTTAACTGAAGGAGCTATTGCCATATACCAGTTCTGCCATGATATTATTTAAAAGATCATTATTTATGTTAGATATGGAATTAAAATTAGCAACTCATTTCTTTCATCAGAGGTTCTTCTATATCCTGCATACTGCCATCTGTCTTGCTAAATCTTTATGTGCTTATGATGGGTCTGCCAGTGAATAAAAATGAATTTTACTTTTTCTATTTCCACCTTTTCTTTGTTTTAGATCTTCAACTTTGAATTAAAGGAAGCTGCTTCTACGTGGGCGTGGCAAGAGCAGCGAGAGAACCACATGGACGACACCCAGGACCTAAATGAGCAATCAGTAAGTCTTACTTTAACCTCAGTTCTGCTAGAAAGTGAGATGGGAAGACTATCCTCAAAAGACTTGTAGACATGAATCTACTGTCTGCAGTAAGGTTTGGGGTAGAATATGCTGTGTTGATTTTTGAATTCTCTTATAAGGCCATAAAATAGGCCTTTGGCAATGTGTGCTGTTCCTGCTTAATGGTGATGTCACATCTTGATGTCTCCCTTGATGCTCCACTTGGAGAGTCTGAGGTTGGAAGACAAGGGTGTTGAAATCATGCTGTGTGTTTAGACAGTCTGAACAATTTTATGCACTTCCTTTGTTATGCTTTCTTCCAAAACTGCTGGATGGTTTATATGTTGTTGGCTAATGGGAGCATAAGAGGAAAGAAGATATTATTAGCATGCCAATTGCTCATCTCATGGATGAAAACCACAGTCCTCAAGGGCTTTCCTTATTTTCCTAGATTTATCGGGATCAAGAATGTGGCAGCTTGGTAACAATCCTATTAAGATTCTGTCTTCCTGTAGGGAGATACTTAATCTGGTTTCTCCTCTTGCCTTATTAGTAGGGTCTCAAGTGACAGTAATTCTTTATTGTGTGCCACTTGGGGCATAGACTGCTGGACATTGCCACCCTAGTCGTTCTGCACACAGGCAACTAGTGAGGTCACAGGGAAGAAGAAGACATGGATATCGCCAAGAATGTGTTCCACATGGGGAGCTATTCCTCCTCAGCTTGTACGATCATGTTTGTCCTTAAAGTCTACGGTTTCCCAGGGACAACGGAGGGGAAGATGCTTGTGTATGACAATGTAGCAATAGAAATGATGCATGCAGTGTATTTCAGCTTAAAATAAATAGCAAAGTGTGTTTTTGTAGAAACTGCTGTTCTAAAATGATTTAATTTGTTTTCCAGAAGATAAGTAAAAATACACGTATATGTATGTGTTAAATTTTATTTCTTGAGATTGCCTAAGTGTGATTTCATTGTATGATTATAGCACTACTCGTTTCCTATAGCATCATAAGAAACACATGAAGAGCATTCCGAAGGCTGTGAAACTTAGAATCAAGCAGTAGACACGAGAGTCTTGAAACTCTCTGATTTCATAGAGAAATCTGGCAGCCACAGTTTCAAACGGTCTCCAAAAGTACTGGTTATTAAATCTAAATATGTACGGCTAGAACTCTATCTAGCAAGTGGATTATGGTCCTCATGATGACTGTCTTTCTCCCACATGCCTTTGTATGTTTGTAGCTCTTGCTGGGATCAGATTTCTGTGAGAGTAATCATGTGCCTGGAGGTCAAGAGCGAATGATGCTGTCACCTGAGAGAAGTGTGTTTCAACTTAAACATGAGTGTGTGTGTGTGTATGTGTGTGCGCATGTGTACACATGCGTGTTAGGTATTCACATACTTTTAGAGAATGAGGAATTGGAGTTTTCAGGGGACACAAAGGTATTAAAGAGAGTAGAGTCTGAGAGAAAATGGCTCATTCATCATTTACTTTAGGGAAGATTTACACATCAGAAAGATTATCTACTTTATTTTCTAATCCTTTTTAAATTAAAAATTTATAATATGATTACATCATTTTCCCACTTTTCTTTTCTTCCTCTAACCCTTTATACATACTTAAATATAACAGAATCTCTGTTTAATGAAATTGATGTTAAGGACAACACACACATACACATATATATATTAAGTGTGTGTATATATATATATATACCTTAGCCTCATGTTAAGGTCTATATATACACACATTCATGAGGCTAAGGTGTTACTAAAGGTTTTAAATCACCTTTGACTAAATAATGCACAGAATTTATGAGTTGTGTTTACAATATCACAGGTTTCACTTTCAGTGATATTTCTGGGTTGCACTTTTATAACTATTTTTTTTTCAAGTTCTCAGCAATGCTACTGTGCAGCCAGGTGTAAGAATCAAATATCTAGAGTGATCTCTGTAGCTTCTGGCATAGCTCCATTTTCTGAGCTTAAACTTTGCACACATAGACAAGTATGTTCATCTCAAAGATGTGCAAATGGATACTAAGAAGTGGTAATGAATTCTCATGCTGTTGTGGCTGGATGCTGCAAATTTGAAACTTCTGGGTGATCTTTTGACTCCACGTCCATGGCTTTCTTCCCATTCCACTGTGTCTGACAAAGGGACAGTTAGTGTTATGTCATCCATCATGATGCACAAGTAAAAAAAAAAAAAAAAAAAACTAAGACTATTGATGGAGGAGGGTCATCTGTCTATCTGTTGTTTTATTGGTTAATTAATAAAGAAAACTGCTTGGCCTGTTAGGTCAGAACATAGGTGGGTGGAGTAGACAGAACAGAATGCTGGGAGGAAGAAGGCATTGAGACAGACACTATAGCACTCCTCTCCAAGACAGACGCAGGTTAAGATCTTTCCTGGTAAGCCACCAGCTCGTGGTGCTACACACATGATTAGAAATGAGTTAATCAATATGTGAAAATTAGCCAGTAAGAGGCTAGAGCTAATGAGCCAAGCAGTGTTTGGTCTAAATTTATGATCAAGTTAGAAGGCCTGAAAATAAAAAGCTCATTCATTTTAAAGTAATGTGTGTTATATCATGATTTTAAGTATTATAGGTTATACAATAAACTATTAGTGGATACTGGTGAAATAAAATGAGTAAGTTATAGTTATGGTAGAATTACCTTCTTTAAATGTTGTATATCAAAGGCCTGAACATTCCTGTCCATTTCAACATTGTCACTCTTTCAGTCTACTTACATGTTAGTACAATATTTTATTATTACTTTTATAACTTTTTAGAATTATAATTTAATATATCAAAATTATCTTGCAAATATCAAACTGGACATCATAAGGACATTTTAACTATATGACATTTTCCCAAATTTGGAGTACCACTATTAGGCTTTACTTCTAATAATGTGTAGTTGGGACAATGATGTGGGATTCCCCTTCGTCTGCTGTGATTACCATTGATTAATTAAGAAACTGTTTTAGGCCTATAGCAAGGCAGAACAGAGGTGGGTGGGCAAACTAAACTGAATGCTGGGAGAAAGAAGTCAGAGTCAGGAGACATCATGGAGCTGCCAGAGGGGAAAGACACAAGCTATCAGTTGGAACCTTGCCAGTAGGCCACAAGCCTCATGATAAAATATAAAATAATAGAAATGGATTAATTTAATATGCAAGAGCTTGCTAGGAATATGCTATAGTCATTGGCTAACCAGTGTTGTAAATAATATAGTTTCTGTATGATTATTTCATGGTCTGAGCAGCTGGGAACGAACAAGCGTCTCTCCATCAACAGAAATGGACTTAGAGAAGTTTAGTCTGGAGAAAAGGAGGAGGAGTAAGAGTTTCAGATTTACTGCTTCCATGATGGATAGTAGTCAGGCTCTCAGAGAAGTTCTATTTTATAAGATGGAGACAGATAAGAGCAAGGATGTCTTCGAATGCCCAAAGTCTCTGATTTGGACATACAGTTTTCATATCATATCATGTTGGCTCAGTAACTGTATCTCATGAATGAAAAGAAAATGATTGTTGACAATGGAAATATAGTGGGTTTCTTCTGTGCTTTACCAATGGAGTCTTGGGCAAAGTGAATACAACGTAACTTCTGTAAGTGGAAACTTCACTGATGAAAAGAGCTGCTGCTGATGGCACCATCCTGAAAGCTTTATGTGACTCCTCATTCAGCCACATTGAGAGTCCCGTGTGTCATAGCCCCAGTCTGAAAAGAACTCACTGAAGCTGAGCTTAGTTGTTTACTGGAGGTTGGTGATTGATGGAAAGCTGTCTCAATGAACTGTGAATGGACAGTCTTATGCCCAAATTGAGACTGATTTGATCAACTTAAATAATGTTCAGATACATCAGTACTTTGAAGTATGTATTAAAAAATCAAATTGATTATAGTTTTATTAAATGTCAATCAACTGTATTAAGTATGATCTTTATTCTTTTGGTGAAAAGTGTAAATTATTCCACCATAATTGTGAACCAACTGCATAGTCTTCTTTGATAAATGCATTAATGAGCAGTTTTAAGACTGCAAAATGTATGGAATTAAATAAAATTAACAGTCTCCATAAATAAGTATTCATGGATCACAGGTTGACATCTAGGAAGCGTGCTTAATTATAAATTAAAAGATAAGATGACAGAATTTCTATCCTGCTGCATGCTTTAGTTTAGTTTATGATGGTATGATATGGCATCCATGTCTATTCTTCAGTTGATTTGGACAGTTACTATTAATTTATTAAGTGATTATTTTTGGAACACTGCTGTATTTGAAGTACTTGGTAAACAAATTCAGAAGACATTGTTGTTCTTGCAATTTACATTATAGAGTGGGGAAAAGTATTTAAACAAACTATGCAGAAAGTAACAATGCAAAGAAAGAAAACAAATTATGTCCAGAAGGAAGGTAGGAAATGCTTAAAGGGTGGGTTGCATAGGGGAAGGACAGTTGTAGTTTGGGGGAGAGAATCAGAAAGGCCCAACAGGGTGGGTGTCATTCAAAGAACCAAGGGAAGCGAGGGACTAGTTCTGTGAACACCTGGGGCAAGGGGTTTGTGTTAGAGGGATCAGCAAGAGAAAATCTTCAGGGTAGTTGATGCCTGGTACTTGCTAGGAAGGGCAAGGACACTAGGACTGGTGGGGTGATAGAAATGGGCAGAGATGAGGCCACAGAGATTATTTACCTGGGAGTGTGTAGGTGTATCCTGGTCATTTTAAGAAGTTTAGCATTTTCTTAGTGGCATCTAAAGTGGTAGAGAGATCTTGAGCTTAGCTATGTTTAAGAAGTTCTTTTTTTTTTTTTGCTCTTTTTTTATTGAGAATAAGAAAAAAAAGTTTCCGCCTCTTCCCAGCCTCCCATTTCCCTCCCCCTCCCCCCACTCTTCTCCCCCTCCCC